AGTTAACATATTTCAACATTAAATCTAGAATGGTAACTTTAAAGTCAATTTGATTCAATGTATAAACTTTAATATCAAAATGGAAACTTTAAAGTCAAAATGTGAACTTTAACGTCAATACATTCATTATGTTAAGTTTGAAAATAAAGATAATTCAATTTGTTAACTTTAAAGTTAACATATTTCAACATTAAATTCCGAATGGTAACTTTAAAGTCAATTTGATTCAATGTATAAAGTTTAATGTCAAAATGTTAACTTTAACGTCAATATATTCATTTTGTTAACTTTGAAAATAAAGATAATTCAGTGTGTTAACTTTAAAGCCAAAATGTTAACTTTAACGTCAATATATTCATTATGATAACCTTGAAAATAAAGATAATTCAATGTGTTAACTTTAAAGCCAAATGTTTACTTTAACGTCAATATATTCATTATGTTAACTTTGAAAATAAAGATAATTCAATATGTTAACTTTAAAGTTAACTTTCAACATTGTGTTCATAGTGTTAACTTTAAGTTAAGATGTTAACTTTAAAGTCAAGATATTTTAATTTGTTAACTTTAAGGTAAAAATGTGTTCCATAGTGTTAACTTTAGGTAAAGATGTTAACTTTAAAGTCAAGATTAATTGAATGTGTTAATTTTAACGTCAATATGTTCATAGTGTTAACTTTAGGTAAAGATGTTAACTTTAAAGTCAAGATTAATTGAATGTGTTAATTTTAACGTCAATATGTTCATAGTGTTAACTTTAAGTAGGGATGTTAACTTTAAAGTCAAGATTAATTGAATGTGTTAATTTTAACGTCAATATGTTCAGAGTGTTAACTTTAAGTTAAGATGTTAACTTTAAAGTCAAGATATTTTAATTTGTTAACTTTAACGTAAAAATGTTAAATTGAAAACAAATATGTTCAATGTGTTATCTTATAAGCCAAAATGTTAATTTTGTTAACTTCGCGTTTTCTTCCTATAAATAATCTTAGCTTCTTGAACCATCGCCGAGCCTTGTTTCTGAAAAAATAAAGATGAAAAATTACGTTGATGTTCTTGTTTCTATTGCCGGGTTTATTCTGATTAGTTTGGCTGTTTCGTATTTTGATGTTTATTGGACACAAACAAACAAAGGCCAAATATGCGGAAGGTATATTGATCTATGCTTGATAATGATTGTCAGTTTGATCACAAATATTTGACCAAATTGGATTTTTTGGAAGTTTGACAAGAAATCTTTGCTATCTATTAATCATAAGGACAGTCTTCTAGTTCAGTCTTCTAGACACCAAGTACAAGACCATCGGGCTTCTTTACCTTTCAAAAGGCGTCTTAATTATTATTCTTAATGACGTTTCCAGTAAAACTGAAAACTAATGTGCCGTTTTAATGTGTCTTTTTTGTGAAATATACATACCCTGACTTCTGGCACGAATACAACATTACTAATTTAAAAAAACCAGTTTTAGAAATATTTTTTTTAATTTGAACTTTTCGTACAGTAAAGAATTAGGGAAGAGCAAAAAAAATTCTTTTGACAATTTTTGTTTGGTTTCAGTGCCTTACATATGAAGAATTTTTTCCACAACTATTTATTTATTTCGAAAATTATATTAATTATGAATGAGACCCATATTAAAAGCTGTCAGGTTTTATTTGTCGCTTTTAAATGAAGTTTAAATGAAGGTCTACAGAATTTAATAAAATGCTTAATGAACGGAAATTGACAAAAAAACTGGCAAAAAATGCACTTCTGGTGTAAATGTTTTTAATAAAAATTTTTGTTTGAGGTTTGAATAAAAAATTTGTGGAAAAATTACATTTCGCTTAACAGAAAGTGAAAAAAGTAAATGTTACCGGGAATAAAAATTTAGTACAAAGTAATCCTTTCGGCTCAATTTGAGATCTTGCCGCAAATTCTGATTATTTTTTCCCTACTGTTACCATTGTAAAGTGATGAAAAGTAAAGAAAATGTAAAGCCTGAAAGTTGAAACTCACGTGAATATGTCTACAGAGTAAAGGAAAAAATGTAGTTAAATAAAGCCGGAGCTCTTTGGCAGACATTCCGCCTTCTTTCTTCTTATGATGGGTTAATCCTCCTCGTTTCTATGCTTTGTAACAACTCTCTATTTTGGCATTAGCCTGGTGAAATCCTATTTTCTGCTCCTTCGTAACTCAAGCTTATAGGCTTGAATTTAAAAAGTACTCTGGGGTGAATGGTAGCTTGGTTTTCCACCCGTTGAAACATGCGTTAAAAACATGTTTCTAGGATGGCATCTTTTAATGTACACATTTCTCAATACATTATACACCAGGTGACTTGTCATCCACCCTAATTTCCATCCAACCTATAGCTATATACAAATAGCTAATAAGCTGCCATTCTTCTAGTCTGGACTACTTGCAATCTGAGCTAAGCTCCGGGCCCGTATGAGGTCTGAAGGGGTCACATCAATATAACTATCCAATCTTAGCTTAGCTCTGGTTCCGTATTAGAACTGAAGGGGTTACATCAATGGACCTATCATTACTCCGAGCTATAGAGCTCATACTGGTTACATCCCCGTTGGATTTTCCACGCGTTGAATTTTCCACACATCGAAACATGTATTAAAAGCATTTTCTCTAGGAAGCCATCTTTTAACGGACACAAATCTCAATACATTATACACCAGTCGACTTATTATCCGACCCAATTCCGTCCGACCTATAGCTATAAACAAAAAGCTAATAAACTGCCATGCATCTAGGCCGGACTACTTGCAATCTGAGCTTAGCTCCGGGTCCTTATTAGGACTGAAGGGGTTATATAAATGAAACTCTCCTTATTCCGAGCTATTGAGCTCATACTGGTTACACTACATCTTGAAAACCCGATGTCGTGGACTTTAGATATTTCAAACTAAGAATTCTGATAGAACAAATAAAGTTGCAAAGATATAGGGATTAGAAAATTTGAGTTTGTGCAGACAAGAACTTGCAGTTCTTATAATCAAATACTATATAAAACTATCTTGTCCGAAGAATTGAGAGTAAAAAATACGAGATATTAAAATTTGTATTTTTTTCTTCTTTCAGTATTTTTCAAACTAATATATTGGTAGTTGATTTTTGAAGAAAAAAAGATAGGTTGAGTCACCCTATTTTGAGGACCCGTGGGTGACTAGTTATCTGATTAGGAGAGAACAAAAACCTGTCATTTAGATTAGGTTATCTTCTTCTTTCAGACATAGGACACAAACCAGACAAGATCAGACATAGGACACAAACCAGACAATCACGCAGGGGCGTACGCACGCGTGCCACCCCCTGAGGGGGACTCTTTTAATATTAAATCTGCTTTCATTTCCCTTCCTCAGGCAATCTACATTCTACATTGCATTGCATTGCACTCAACCAAACTAAAAGATTAAGAAAAGAAATAATATATATTCTGATTCATAACAATTCCCTTCAAAGCTTTGTCTGATCAAGTATTGCCTTACATATCCATGTTTCCCATTTTGAAAACTGATTATTTTTATTTGTGGTTTATCTACAAAAGTGACTCGCGCATTTCTTGCTTCAAAAACGATGGAAAAATGAAAGTTTCAAAGGTACATCGGACATGCCACTCTATAAATGGAGGGTCACTTTAAATCATGCATGTATTCCATTTAAGTATAATTATGTCGTATAAAAAAATACTTTAAAATCTAACTTTTGCCTTAACTAAAAAAGTTTCATTAAAAAAGCTTTAATCAATACTGCCTTCAGTGTAAATATATATTTGATATCATAATTTATTATACAATATGTATCAATGTATATTTTTCATCCCTTGAAGCTTACACCGCAGTATTAAGAATTAAGCGGGCCATTGTCCTGATGAGTTTGCACTTAAGAAAATTATATAAATAATTTTTTAACACTTGTAATATGGAAGTGTGTATATGTTTTAAGAGGGGGGGGGGGGGCAAAAAAAAGATCTTTTCTGCGCTGATGCGCACAAAATGTGCCCCCCCCCCTACAGAAATGCTCTCGTACCCCCTGAACATAGGACACAAACCAAACAATCATACATAGGACAAAAACCAGACAATCAGACATAGTACAGAAAACCAGACATAGGACACAAACCAGACAATCAGACATAGTACATAAAACCAGACAATCAGACATAGGACACAAACCAGACAATCAGACATAGGACACAAACCAGACAATCAGACATAGGACACAAACCAGACAATCAGACATAAGACACAAATCAGACGATCAGGAATTTTTCCAGAGTTGGGGAGTGCAAAACCTTTGGTAACATTTCAGGGAGACTTAATACCTTCCTGAATACCTATCTCTTAAAATAGGATTTTTCAATACTCTGACTACATTAAGGTTTTTGAGTGCTGCCGGCGCTTCTAAATCTCTTCTATATGGCTGTTAGAATCTATTTATATATTGAGATTATCCCGAAACCGCTGTGCTTTCTTGTACTTTTGCTATAAAATATATACTTTTTCCCGAGAAAGCTCTCTTTAACAAAGACGACATCTAAATATTTTTCGGGTTTACAGGATTCATTCAAGAATAATTAATATATGAATGAGAAAAGTAATTATAAATTTAAATTATTATAAATCAGTGCAAGCTACACTTGAAACAATGTTGGTAAATGAAAAGATTATCAGAATATATTCATTTTGTCCATTCTCAACATGAATCACAAGACAAATGCATTTTTAGAGGAGTATTGTGACAAAAACCAGTCACTCCCACACTCTTCCCCCGACCCCTGAAATACTCCATAGGGGGGGGGGGGCTTAGTCACCTTTATACATCCCTGAATGTACTTTAATAAAACTGAATAGTTCACTCATTTTTAACTAGCATAAAAATTGTAAAAATAGCAAAACATGTTGTTCATTTCATTTATAACACTCTAAGTCATTCAAATGAAATGGAAAAATCAATATTCAGAATTAAGTTGATCATTAAGAAGAAACCGGAGCAATAATATCTGAACTTTTTTACAGTCAGGTAAAGGATTGAAAGATCTGAGACAGTTATAGATTTAGCTCTGATAGACATACAGAGACCATCGACATACAGTTTAAACAGTAGATATACAGTTGAAACTGTAGACATACAGTTTAAACAATAGACATACAGTTTAAACTGTAGACATACAGTTTAAACAGTAGACATACAGTTTATACATTATACATACAGTTCAAACAGTAGACATACAGTTTAAACAGTTTACATACAGTTTATACATTATACATACAGTTTAAACAGTAGACATACAGTTTATACATTAGACATACAGTTTATACATTAGACATACAGTTTAAACTGTAGACATACAGTTTAAACAGTAGACATACAGTTTAAACAGTAGACACGCAGTTTAAACAGTAGACATACAGTTTATACATTAGACATACAGTTTAAACAGTAGACATACAGTTTAAACTGTAGACATACAGTTTAAACAGTAGACATACAGTTTATACATTAGACATACAGTTTAAACAGTAGACATACGGTTTAAACAGTTGACATACAGTTTATACATTAGACATACAGTTTAAACAGTAGACATATAGTTTATACATTAGACATACAGTTTAAACAATAGACATCCAATTTAAACAGTGGACATCCAGTTTGAATATAACCTTACAGTTTAAACAGTAAACATACAGTTTAAACAGTAGACATACAGTTTAAACTGTAGACATACAGTTTAAACAGTAGACATACAGTTTAAACAGTAAACAGACAGTTTAAACTGTAGACATACAGTTTAAACAGTAGACATAAAGTTTAAACAGTAGACATACAGTTTAAACAGTAGACATACAGTTTAAACAGTAGACACTCAGTTAAAACAGTAGACATATTAAAACTTAAACCAGTTTGTTATAGTTTTTTCTTTGTGTTGTTGTACTCTTTAACCCCAAACCAGTTATATGTGTCTATTAAATTCATCTTATTTTATGAATACTCCCTACCTTCCCTTTTCCTTGTTNTCCTTGGTTCAGACCATTTTATATGAATCATCATCATTTAATATTTGGTAGAAAGATAATTATTCACGGTTGGTAGATTTATACACTGTTCAATAGTATACACTATACAGTCTCTATATATCTAGCTAGTGTTCAGAAGTAATACGTCTCTATATATATCTAGAGTGTTCAGTGATATACAGTCTAATATATCTAGTGTTCAGTAGTAAACAGTCTCTATATATTTAGTGCGTTCAGTTTTATACAGTCTCTAATGTCCAGTGTTCAGAAGTATACAGTCTCTATATATCTAGTGTTCAGTAGTATACAGTCTCTATATATCTAGAGTTCAGTAGAATACAGTCTCTGTATATCTAGTGTTCAGTGGTATACAGTCTCTATATATCTATTGTTCAGTAGTATACAGTCTCTATATATCTAGAGTTCAATAGTATACAGTCTCTGTATATCTAGTGTTCAGTAGAATACAGTCTCTGTATATCTAGTGTTCAGTAGAATACAGTCTCTGTATATCTAGAGTTCAGTAGTATACAGTCTCCATATATCTAGTGTTCAGTAGTATACAGTCTCTATATATCTAGAGTTCAGTAGTATACAGTGTCTATATATCTAGTGTTCAGTGGTATACAGTCTCAATATATATAGAGTTCAGTAGAATACAGTCTCTGTATATCTAGTGTTCAGTAGTATACAGTCTCTGTATATCTAGTGTTCAGTAGAATACAGTCTCTGTATATCTAGTGTTCAGTAGTATACAGTCTCTATATATCTAGTGTTCAGTAGAATACAGTCTCTGTATATCTAGTGTTCAGTATTATATAGTCTCTTTTTATATCTGTTTTTCTATATATATATCTACATTTTTGAAGATTTTTTTTTACATTTTTAATTCCTATCGAAAACTGCCTCTTTGAATTTAACAAGAGTTTTCTGGGTTGTACGGGGGTAGATATATCAAACTTAAGCTTTAAGTGTTAAGATACAAAATGTAAATCTCAGCTGTTAAATAAACCATATTATTAAATCCAAACATTATAAACCTCGACTTCAAATGAAATTAGTGAATTGAAAGTGAAAGTTTCTAGAAACTGAAAATCATTTATTTTTTTAAAGAAATTTAAATCATAAATCTGTAAATTGTAAACCAATTAGTGCAAAAACCTTTAAAAACTGTAGGAAATCTCTGTTATCTTAAATTCTTTAATTTGTTAACCTAAAATTTCTCCAGACGTGTTAACATTTTCCGTTAACCGACTTGAATGGCTAAATAGGACAGTAGACAGGTTTATTGTTTGAAAGATTCGTGCAAAATAAATAATTTTTATTTTAAAAGTTTTAAAAGTTGTCCTAAGGCTTTAAAATTTCAATTAAAATCATAATGTTTTAGTTTCAGAAAATAAATGAAAGGTGATGAAAAGTGCAAAAAATCGTATTCGTCTGGGATTTATTCCCTTGATCGTGATCCTGTTAACTCCAGGTTGTCTATCCTCAACCTTCTCCAACCAGCATAGGAGAAGTGAGGAATTTAAACCCAAGGTATCTTATCCTAAGCCAATCAGAGCAGAGGAGGTTTAAAGATGGAACAAAGGAATTGAGTCTTTGCCACAAGCTCTCATTTTTAATCTCTTTATCCTTGCAACCAAATGTTGTAGACCATAAATATTTCAATCTTCTCGAATTCTTTTAGATCAAATAATCCAGTTTGAAATATCAAGAGGTTATACAAACATGTTGCAAAGATATAGGGATGAGAAAGTTAAAATTCGTGGCAAAGACTCGATTTATTTGAGTGAGAGAGAGGCAAGTTTATACGTTTTTTGGCTAAATTTTCTAATATAAATTTATTATTTTTTTTTTTATTTTTAACATTTTCCCTTTTACCTTGTTCTGTATGATAGAGAAAAAAACTGAAGTATCCTTGTTTTATCATCTTAAAACAAATTATTTTCAAATTTTATTCTTTATTTAAGTGACCTGCGGATTAATACAGTAAGAGAGGAACAATTTAACTGTAATAATTCAACACTTTTCAAGACAAATAAAAACATGACATCTTCCTGATTGTTAATCAGAGAGAGGTTTAAATATGGTACCGTTGTGAATCTGATCTACCATGCTATAAATATAGAGATTCACCGCTCGTACAGTCACTTTACACGGGCAGTCGTAGTACATTCGAATTTACGAGCCGGGTCAATTTTTCCGGTCCCAGTTTGTACTGTACCTAGCTCTATGGACATGACTAGCCGGTGCAAACAAGATTGACGCGGTCAGACTTTATGCTTCATATAGGTTGAATTTACTTTTACTAGAGGGGCAGAGGTGCGTGTTTAGTTGAATGTCTTTTTGCAGTTTTGTCATCAAAAGATTTTATTTATTTTATTTAGAACGTTGATCATAGTTGGACAAAAGAATTTTTGTTCCCAGATCAACTGCCGAGAGTAAAAAAACAGGTGAAAAATAAAAATAAAAAATACAACATTTTTCCTTTGTAAAATGTTTAAAAGATTTTGTTAATTATTACATAAAAAGTTGGTTTTAGTTTCAGAATAATTTTCTTGTCGCGGCGGGGCAATGAAAAATTTTAATGTCCAAAATGTAAAAAAATTGAGATTATTTCTTGAAATTATTAATTAGTATACTCTTATCTGGCTTAATGATTTCCTAAAAAACATTAAGAATTGATTTGCAATTGGCTTGAAGTATTATTGTTCGCCTCTGCTCGGTGTTTATCAAGAAAATATTATCTATATATGAAGCAGTAATCTTTGTTTGTTTGTTTTGATGTCCGATCATAACTCATAAACCCCTTGACCGATTTGCCTCGATTGGGATACTCGGGAGAACCACAAAATGTTCTTAGCTTGGTTTAAAGATTCTAGGTTAATTATATCGGGAAAACTCCTGGCAAAGCTGGGTTCCCAAGATCTGATAACTGGTTTTATTTATGGTATTTGGCCTATTGTTTTTAGAGTAGGAATCCATTATTTTCGTTATAGAACTAATATGTTTTATGGGACACACGTTGTATATAAATAGTTCTTGTAGTTTGTTTCTACTTCTAGTTGAGTATTCATGTACCTGCGGTAGTGAAACTTGACCAGTCTGCTGTAAACTTATTTATTCCCAGGTAATATACTGGGTGTCCCAAAAAACATGGGAATTCAGTGACGAATTGGATATCGTCTTTGTTATGAATTAGCATTGTAATACCTAATTTCAAAAGCCATAATATTATTATGTCTGCTAGAGTTTAATTTATGAAAAGGGTAAAAGACTGTAAAGATGTGTCTATAATGTTTTCACAAGATGAACAGTGAAGACGGACAAGTTTACTCTGTTTGTATACTGCAATTTTCTTGTTTTACTAAGTACAACCGTATGCAGTCAAAACATAAACAAACAAAATGTGAACATAGCAGACGANAATAGGGAGCTGTATATTTCTTTACTGAATAGGGAGCTGTATATTTCTTTACTGAATAGGGAGCTGTATATTTCTTTACTGAATAGGGAGCTGTATATGTCCTTACTAAATAGGGAGCTGTATATTTCTTTACTGATTAGGGAGCTGTATATTTCTTAATAATATTTTGAATCAAAACATTTATATTTCCGGTTCTTAATAAATTTTATAATTTTTGTTACACTGTTTTACGTTTATAGCATCTTTTACTACGACACTTAGAACTTTGTATTTATGGATTGATTTTTTTTATTTTTTACATTAAATTATTTTTGCTGGAATTTAAACTGTTCTGTTTCTGACTAATAAAATAGATAAATGCACGGTGACGTTATACCGTGTTTGTTGACGTTTAAAGGCGTTTACATATCTCAAGTTAAAATTCGACATTTTGTATGCATAGTATTTCTAAAGAATATTGAAAATAATATATTGCTAAAAATGAGAATACAAATTTAAAGCCCCTTTGCATACACAGATCAAACAGTGCCACACACTTTGATTTTCTAATCCCATTATCTTTGCAAACCAATGTCAGATTTTAGATATTTCAAATTTTGAATTATCTTAGGTCAAATAATCTAGGTTTGACATTTCAAGGTTGGAAAGATAAAGGAATTCGAGTTCTGGCAACCACTTAATTTCTTTAATTGGGATTAGAATTAATGAAAATTGAGAAATTATTGTTGAACCACCTTTTCTTGTGTGCTATAGTTTAAGTTAAAAGGTTAAACTAAGTCACTCTTTTCATTAAATCCGGTCTCTGAAAGTGCATTTAATGCTGTTCTAGTGGATGTGGAGACAATGCTGATTATTGTGAGGACGCTTTAGATTATCCAGATGCTCAATATATCAAGCAGATTGTCAAGTAATATATTATTATTATTATTAAAGATTTATTCACACACATTTAATATACATACATATATTACATATTACATATATTAATGGTATAGTTTAAATTTGTTTTGTTATGAATGATATTAGATGTATTCATTATTCACTCTCATAATCTCCAATTTCA